TTCAGATCTTTAGAATGAATGAATGTTTTCAATTTGCTCATCTTTGGTTTTTTTTTTTTTTTTGGTGCAGTTTTTGTTGTATATATGAGAAAGATTATCTCTTTTCTTTTGTGTGTGTGTGTGGGGAATATAATAATATAATTGGTTTAATTTTACACTTAGAGAATAATTGTTCAGATCTTTAGAATGAATGAATGTTTTCAATTTGCTCATCTTTGGTTTTTTTTTTTTTTTTGGTGCAGTTTTTGTTGTATATATGAGAAAGATTATCTCTTTTCTTTTGTGTGTGTGTGTGGGGAATATAATAATATAATTGGTTTAATTTTACACTTAGAGAATAATTGTTCAGATCTTTAGAATGAATGAATGTTTTCAATTTGCTCATCTTTGGTTTTTTTTTTTTTTTTGGTGCAGTTTTTGTTGTATATATGAGAAAGATTATCTCTTTTCTTTTGTGTGTGTGTGTGGGGAATATAATAATATAATTGGTTTAATTTTACACTTAGAGAATAATTGTTCAGATCTTTAGAATGAATGAATGTTTTCAATTTGCTCATCTTTGGTTTTTTTTTTTTTTTTGGTGCAGTTTTTGTTGTATATATGAGAAAGATTATCTCTTTTCTTTTGTGTGTGTGTGTGGGGAATATAATAATATAATTGGTTTAATTTTACACTTAGAGAATAATTGTTCAGATCTTTAGAATGAATGAATGTTTTCAATTTGCTCATCTTTGGTTTTTTTTTTTTTTTTGGTGCAGTTTTTGTTGTATATATGAGAAAGATTATCTCTTTTCTTTTGTGTGTGTGTGTGGGGAATATAATAATATAATTGGTTTAATTTTACACTTAGAGAATAATTGTTCAGATCTTTAGAATGAATGAATGTTTTCAATTTGCTCATCTTTGGTTTTTTTTTTTTTTTTGGTGCAGTTTTTGTTGTATATATGAGAAAGATTATCTCTTTTCTTTTGTGTGTGTGTGTGGGGAATATAATAATATAATTGGTTTAATTTTACACTTAGAGAATAATTGTTCAGATCTTTAGAATGAATGAATGTTTTCAATTTGCTCATCTTTGGTTTTTTTTTTTTTTTTGGTGCAGTTTTTGTTGTATATATGAGAAAGATTATCTCTTTTCTTTTGTGTGTGTGTGTGGGGAATATAATAATATAATTGGTTTAATTTTACACTTAGAGAATAATTGTTCAGATCTTTAGAATGAATGAATGTTTTCAATTTGCTCATCTTTGGTTTTTTTTTTTTTTTTGGTGCAGTTTTTGTTGTATATATGAGAAAGATTATCTCTTTTCTTTTGTGTGTGTGTGTGGGGAATATAATAATATAATTGGTTTAATTTTACACTTAGAGAATAATTGTTCAGATCTTTAGAATGAATGAATGTTTTCAATTTGCTCATCTTTGGTTTTTTTTTTTTTTTTGGTGCAGTTTTTGTTGTATATATGAGAAAGATTATCTCTTTTCTTTTGTGTGTGTGTGTGGGGAATATAATAATATAATTGGTTTAATTTTACACTTAGAGAATAATTGTTCAGATCTTTAGAATGAATGAATGTTTTCAATTTGCTCATCTTTGGTTTTTTTTTTTTTTTTGGTGCAGTTTTTGTTGTATATATGAGAAAGATTATCTCTTTTCTTTTGTGTGTGTGTGTGGGGAATATAATAATATAATTGGTTTAATTTTACACTTAGAGAATAATTGTTCAGATCTTTAGAATGAATGAATGTTTTCAATTTGCTCATCTTTGGTTTTTTTTTTTTTTTTGGTGCAGTTTTTGTTGTATATATGAGAAAGATTATCTCTTTTCTTTTGTGTGTGTGTGTGGGGAATATAATAATATAATTGGTTTAATTTTACACTTAGAGAATAATTGTTCAGATCTTTAGAATGAATGAATGTTTTCAATTTGCTCATCTTTGGTTTTTTTTTTTTTTTTGGTGCAGTTTTTGTTGTATATATGAGAAAGATTATCTCTTTTCTTTTGTGTGTGTGTGTGGGGAATATAATAATATAATTGGTTTAATTTTACACTTAGAGAATAATTGTTCAGATCTTTAGAATGAATGAATGTTTTCAATTTGCTCATCTTTGGTTTTTTTTTTTTTTTTGGTGCAGTTTTTGTTGTATATATGAGAAAGATTATCTCTTTTCTTTTGTGTGTGTGTGTGGGGAATATAATAATATAATTGGTTTAATTTTACACTTAGAGAATAATTGTTCAGATCTTTAGAATGAATGAATGTTTTCAATTTGCTCATCTTTGGTTTTTTTTTTTTTTTTGGTGCAGTTTTTGTTGTATATATGAGAAAGATTATCTCTTTTCTTTTGTGTGTGTGTGTGGGGAATATAATAATATAATTGGTTTAATTTTACACTTAGAGAATAATTGTTCAGATCTTTAGAATGAATGAATGTTTTCAATTTGCTCATCTTTGGTTTTTTTTTTTTTTTTGGTGCAGTTTTTGTTGTATATATGAGAAAGATTATCTCTTTTCTTTTGTGTGTGTGTGTGGGGAATATAATAATATAATTGGTTTAATTTTACACTTAGAGAATAATTGTTCAGATCTTTAGAATGAATGAATGTTTTCAATTTGCTCATCTTTGGTTTTTTTTTTTTTTTTGGTGCAGTTTTTGTTGTATATATGAGAAAGATTATCTCTTTTCTTTTGTGTGTGTGTGTGGGGAATATAATAATATAATTGGTTTAATTTTACACTTAGAGAATAATTGTTCAGATCTTTAGAATGAATGAATGTTTTCAATTTGCTCATCTTTGGTTTTTTTTTTTTTTTTGGTGCAGTTTTTGTTGTATATATGAGAAAGATTATCTCTTTTCTTTTGTGTGTGTGTGTGGGGAATATAATAATATAATTGGTTTAATTTTACACTTAGAGAATAATTGTTCAGATCTTTAGAATGAATGAATGTTTTCAATTTGCTCATCTTTGGTTTTTTTTTTTTTTTTGGTGCAGTTTTTGTTGTATATATGAGAAAGATTATCTCTTTTCTTTTGTGTGTGTGTGTGGGGAATATAATAATATAATTGGTTTAATTTTACACTTAGAGAATAATTGTTCAGATCTTTAGAATGAATGAATGTTTTCAATTTGCTCATCTTTGGTTTTTTTTTTTTTTTTGGTGCAGTTTTTGTTGTATATATGAGAAAGATTATCTCTTTTCTTTTGTGTGTGTGTGTGGGGAATATAATAATATAATTGGTTTAATTTTACACTTAGAGAATAATTGTTCAGATCTTTAGAATGAATGAATGTTTTCAATTTGCTCATCTTTGGTTTTTTTTTTTTTTTTGGTGCAGTTTTTGTTGTATATATGAGAAAGATTATCTCTTTTCTTTTGTGTGTGTGTGTGGGGAATATAATAATATAATTGGTTTAATTTTACACTTAGAGAATAATTGTTCAGATCTTTAGAATGAATGAATGTTTTCAATTTGCTCATCTTTGGTTTTTTTTTTTTTTTTGGTGCAGTTTTTGTTGTATATATGAGAAAGATTATCTCTTTTCTTTTGTGTGTGTGTGTGGGGAATATAATAATATAATTGGTTTAATTTTACACTTAGAGAATAATTGTTCAGATCTTTAGAATGAATGAATGTTTTCAATTTGCTCATCTTTGGTTTTTTTTTTTTTTTTGGTGCAGTTTTTGTTGTATATATGAGAAAGATTATCTCTTTTCTTTTGTGTGTGTGTGTGGGGAATATAATAATATAATTGGTTTAATTTTACACTTAGAGAATAATTGTTCAGATCTTTAGAATGAATGAATGTTTTCAATTTGCTCATCTTTGGTTTTTTTTTTTTTTTTGGTGCAGTTTTTGTTGTATATATGAGAAAGATTATCTCTTTTCTTTTGTGTGTGTGTGTGGGGAATATAATAATATAATTGGTTTAATTTTACACTTAGAGAATAATTGTTCAGATCTTTAGAATGAATGAATGTTTTCAATTTGCTCATCTTTGGTTTTTTTTTTTTTTTTCCTACAAG